CAATACTAGTACGATCGTAATAGAGAAGGTAGTTCGGCTTGTCAACTGAAATTCTAAAGCAATTGAATAGGCCTAAGTTGACTTTTGACAAGAAGAAGAGAACTATTCATAAGTAGTGTTTATGTTATGCCTATAATCTCTATAGTGTGAAGAATTTGTTGTGCATACGTTTAACTTGTTCCGAATATGTATATTACTTTGAAAACAAGTGAAGTACGTGCTGTTCATTTATCGTTAAATTTATCGCCAACAAATCACAGACACCTACTGTAGAAGAATTCTAAGCCCAATAACAACAACAACACAGTATATGTTTATACAATTAAGAAGTATAAGTGAAAGCCTTTAATTGACAATTGGCGACCGTACCATAACTATAACATCTGACAATGTGTCTTCTGTATGACTCACCAGTGGCGCAGCGGTTAATTCTGCAGATTGACAACGCTAGAAAACGGGGTTCGATATCCGTAATGAGTACAGCGTAGATAGCCCATTGCGTAGCACTGTGCTTAATTACAAACACACAAATATTCCATATGCGTATGTATGAAGAGACAGTAGAATAAAAATAAATGAGTAAGTCACAATAATTTCTATTTGTGATTATTTTGATGATGAATATGAATAGTAAAATTTTAGAAAGAAATGTTATACAGTTAGCTGTTCTGTTCAAGGCTCAATAAAGATTACTAAGATCAATTATATGACGGTAAATGTTTACTATTACATGGCCCGGCATGGACAGGTGGTTAGGTCGCTCGACTCGCAAGCTGAGGGTCGCGGTTCGAGTCTCCGTCCCACCAAACATACTCGCCCTTTCAGCCGTGGGGCGTTATAATGTGACGGTCAATCCCACTATTCGTTGGTAAAAGAGTAGCCCAAAAGTTGGCGGTGGGTGGTGATGACTTCCCTCTAGTCTTACACTGCTAAGTTAAGGATGGCAAGCGCAGATATCCCTCGTGTAGCTTTGCTCGAAATTCAAAACAACCAAACAAACAATACCATTACATTCTGGACTAAACCACGGATGTACTAGGGCGTGTACCGTTTTGTGAAATAGCTTTTCTTTATCATCTTCAGTGAACTTCTTTTGAAACAATTATTGTTTTTGTTTCTATGTTATCTATATACATACATATATATGTGGCTGACTCATCGTTTCCGGTTGGTTTCAAACTTAATTTGTTTCTACAAACTACCAAATCTTACTAACTGTTATAGTGTAGTACTGATTTGAGTATATTTTCTTTGGAGAAATACATGTATATTGTTACTATGCTTTGAAAATGTTCTCAGAGTTAAAATGTCTAACTTGTATCATAAAAATATTCATATATCAATTATGCCTACGTATCAACTTCTTTAACTTGGTGTTTAGACTTCAGAAAACTTATATTTTTGACTACAAATTTTTGAACAGACTTAAAGAAGCATTTCATCAACCAGCCCCTGAGCACCAGCGTTGAAATAGATGGCCAGATCTCGCTTCACTGTTTGCCACCAGAGGGTGTGCCACCACCTAAAGTGTTCTGGTTACGTAACGACGAGATTATTGACACCAGTAAGGAAACAAACTTCATAATTTCGAACGAAGGTAACCTGTTGATAAGTCAAGTGCGATTAGCAGATTCAGGTAACTACACTTGTGGGGCCAAAAATGTAGCCAATCAACGCTTCAGTGAAACCGCCACAGTAACTGTCTATGGTAGGTGATGCCCCTTTATTTCAAGTTTCTCTGTTCCTCATATTTTTTTTTCTTGTTTCAGGAATAACACTATCTATTGAACATATTTTTCTCGGATAATACAGTTAATATATTTAGTTGCATCGTATAATATCAGCGAATCTTAGAACACTTGTAATTCTAAAATACATTGCACTGAAAGAATATCAGAAAATGTATACTAATGTCTGTAACAGATTCGCTGTAACAGTTGAATTTTTCCTTTGATATAGGTATATACTTTTCTCCTGAAGAAAAAAAAGAAGAAAAATTATATAATTCACTCAGGATATTTTTCTATATCTATTTCATTTTCAAACTGTTTTTTTCAAGAGATTATGAAACTACGTTGTTATAAGATACAATCGCGTATTTTGTGTTCTCACCCAGGCTATAATTTGTACATTCAAACCTGTTTTACTATACCGCCAAACGTAAAGAAGCATTCATTTTCCGTAGTAAAGTTTTACGCTGTGTATCACGTTGTGTCATACAATTACAACACTAAAATGTAGCTAGACTCGTATATCTAACTTCAACGTAACTTAAACTATGTTCACTATGCAAAAATTGAAGTGCTCTCACTCAGTTCTGTAGCTGTTAAAGACGAGAAAAACGTGTTTACGCTGTAAGAAAAAACTGTATATCAATTTAGGAAGGATTTTGAATGAGAAATTCGATACTTTTAGAGTGGCTTATCAATCTCTTTAACTTTTTTTACTGAGTGGATAAATCCATGTAGCACATTTTAACATTGGAAATGTCAAAGAGTGTGGAGAACAAAATCTTTGATCTCAGTCTGCAGGAAATTGGTTGCAAATACCCAGTCGAAATAGGAGATGACTGGATTTTTTATTTATTTATTTTTTGTTCAGGAAACCAAACGGTTAGGAAATTGAATTGATTAAATTTAGTGAATGAATTAACGCGAAAAGTGTGAACATTTATGATAATAGGCTGGAAACTTTGTGCTTAGGCAAAAAACATGATTTTGTTATTTATTTTTTTCTTCCGTTTTGACTCTCAAAGATCTAATATCCTGTGTTAAGTGTAGAAAATAACGTCTAATCGAAAGTAACAAAAGAAGAAAAAAAAAGAGTCCATAATAATGTGTAAACCACACTATATTCGCTACATCCACTGACGACGAGGCCTTTCGTTCAATACCAGAACTCTTTAGGCCGGCTGGGGGACGACAGATATAATAGTGGTTGAGACGTTATCCGGTTGACAACGACTGTTATGGTGTGAATTGGATTAAGTTGGTGAAGCGTAACTTTCATCGATATATTTTATTTATGTCTCGATAAATCAGAATTAGGGTAAGGATTCATTACGTATTTTGATTTTTATGAATTAATCTGCTTATTGGTAAAACTTTGTAGAATGGGCGGCAACTGCCTGTTGTAGAGACACAAGTGTAGAGGACGACGTTTCGAAAGTCTTCCGCCTTTCATCTTCGAAACGTTGTCCTCTACATTTGTGTCTCTACAACAGGCAGTTGCCGTCCATTCTACAAAGTTTCATCATGAATACTCTGCCTAAACAATCTATCAAATAATAAGCTGCTTATTATTCAAAAGGAAAAATAAATTTCAGTGATTAATATAGGTTTTTGTATTGGGTAATATATTAAAACACAAGAGGGAATCCTCAATTGCCGCGGCACTTGAAATTCTTTTAGGCAGTATTGATGAAAATTAATCTATGAGACCTTTCTTTACGCCAGCAATAGCAAGCGTGGGGCGCGCATATACCCGATTCGATTTTATTACTCATCGGAATCTCTACCAGCCCATCCTCAAATTGAAATTCTTTTAGGTAGGATTAGAGCAAATTAATCTATGAGACCGTGGGCGTGATCAAATACATCAGTTGAAAGGGTTTGACCTCCTGAGTCCAAAACTGTAATTAGATCTCAAATCAGTCAAGAGGTGACGGAGCTATGAGTTGAAAGTTTGTAGTTGAAAATGAAACAAAATTCAGAGTCAATCTATATGCCGCCATGCCGCAGCTAAAAATCTAAAATCTCTTATGAAATTCATTGTTCTCAGAATGTTACTACAGAGCAGTGTTCTTCAAAGTTAAAATTAGTTAAAATCTGTTTGAGATCGCTCATGTCTCAGGAATGTCTCACAGAGTTAGCCATGTTTTCTATCAAAAGTTATGTTGAAGAATGTAGAATTTCAATAAAGTTGTCAAAGAGCGTGTAAAAGCAATTAAAAATTAAATTTCCACACATTAATAACTACTTTAAAAGCATGTAATTGCGAGATTTATATTTCTAAATATCTGAGACAAATTTTCCATTTTCGCGCCAAATGTATGTACTGAATAGGCCTTACAATTAAATACCTTGACGAGGGGCAGAACTTTATGGCGAAGGACTCTTTTTAATAACATACGATCACAGAACAAAAGTATCGTCAGTATTGAAATCAAGCCCACTAATTACTATCAGGATTTTTTATGTATTTTACATAGAAAATGAGTGATTTCATCCATTTTTGGGAGAGGTGTAGAGGGGGGATTCATTCCACTGAGAGTTGTCAAAGGCAGAAGCATGCAGTTATACAAAATGATATATGTGGACCCCGTCGGGAGTAAACAGTATCTAAATATGTCACTAATTTGAAGGTTATACAATATGGTGAGTTTATTCTATCATAAGTGTGTCTTCCAAAAATAACATGCATAAGAAATTACAATAAAAAAATGTATGAAACTACATACTAAACGTGTTTCAAAATTTCACATGAGATTAAACGCCATCTTAGGAAAACACAGTGGGAAATATTTTTAATATTTAGTTTATTTTCTGAGTACACTAGGAATGTAAATTTAATTTCAAGTCTATTTTCAAATTCACCTATTTCAGTTGCAAGTACTACTCCAAGGCATCACACCTTAAAAGTTATATAAACTATGCTATAATGTTTATAACAGCATAAAATGCACTAGTTTTCTTCGTATAACGGTGTGGTAATTTGTATGGTGCAAATGAATTCAAATAGGATACCATAATTTACACCTGTTTTACAAAACGCACACATTAATGCCTACTAACAATGTACTTATTGCAGTCGTTATAAACTTGAAAGTTTCTAAAATTTTCTGAACTCATTCAGATTTTGTAGCTGTTATTTATATTATTTTTTTCAGTTATGGACTTAATAGAAAACCTGAGAATGGGGAGTTATACTTATACTAACTTAGTTTTCTTTTTAACCGTGGATTTTATAAAAAAAAAAAAAAACTCAAAAAAGTAAATTTGTCCAAAAAGTTCAAATAAACTACTAAAGCTTTCAAAAATCTTTGAAATAATTTATAATGTTTATAATATAATACTTTCTGGCCATAAGTTTGTGAGTATATTGATATTACGCTTCCATTTTGCATGACAGAGAAGATCTCCACACAATCGAAATTTAACACCAATAGTCTTTCAAGTTCCTTTCAATATCTTTAAGATCATTTACTGTTACATGCTTGAAATCAATGTTTATTTAAAATATGGCTTTGAATCTGTACTCTCTCATTTATATTTTTGTTGTAAATTTTTTATTATGCGAGCTCACACTTTAATTTCACATTTGTCAAAACTCGTGTTCCAAAACTGGTTGTTGGCTTTCAAAGGCTGTTTTTAATGTTTACAGTTCACTCTTTCGACAGTATAATTCTATAGAATCATTGAGTCAGTTTTATATGTTTAAAAAGATAAAATAATAAAAGCAAGTAAAACTATAAAACGCTGGTATTTAGTTGTGAAATCTAGGTCAAACAATGTTATTGTTTTAAATGTGTGTGTGCTCTTACTTCAAGCTGATGTAAAAGTTTTAAAAATTCACATACAATTCAAAACTATTTAATATTATAAAAACATTTTTTTCTTTAGACTTGTTTGATAAAGCACGATTGAAGTGTACAAGCTCAAATCTACATACAACAGCACTAACCGGAGTATTTTTGCAACACTTTTACGGAAAATTATACACTGATTAAACAATTTGAATAATGCCTCATGTATTGTAATTTTAAGGTTCCTTGTAATTTGTTTGATGATCATCACCATGTCATAACACAGTATACAGATATAAATAACCAGTGGGTAATATAGCACTAAAATGCCTCCTCAAAGTGCTTAATATGTCTTCACTTTTTTCGATGAATTTTAGCAATAATACACGTGATGAAGATCTGCTTTAGCAGCTCGAAACGTCGTCCAAAACTTCTAAAGCAGATGCAGTCCACATTAAAGTCTCCAGTCAAATAATCTTCCTTGAAAACTTTAGGAGAATGATCGTAATGTGCTAAATAGAATATGAATAATGTATTAAGACTTGAGAGTTGATGTGTGGAAGCACGTAGAGATGTTAAAAACGTAATGAACAGCAACCTGATCTTATCACGACAGCCCCTTATTAAATAAGAAAATGAAGGATCTTTCTTTACCAATAAGAACAACCTTAGAGCCCTTCGACTGCATCTTGTGGTGGTTAACAGAGTTATACCTCGCAGCTTGGACATGAAAATTAAAAAGCGTGTATTCACAAGGTCAGAGCCTTTAAATTGTATGAACATCACCTAGTGGCCAAGTGGTGAAAGTTTATATCAATATTCTTATTATGAGTCCATGTGTCTTACTGTAAGATAATGAGGACAATTTCGTATCGTTCACGTGGCTGGCCAGGTGTTTAGGGCGCTCGACTCGCAATCTGAGGGTCTCGGGTTCGATTCCCCGTCACACCAAACATGCTCGCCCTTTCAGCCGTGGGGCGTTATAAGTACCAGTCAATCCCACTATTCGTTGGTAAAAAGAGTAGCCCAAGAGTTGGCGGTGGGTGGTGATGACTTCTCTCTAGTCTTACACTGCTAAGTTAAGGATGGCAAGCGCAGATAGCCTTCGTGTAGCTTTACTCGAAATTCAAAACAATTAAACAAATCGTTCACGTTGGTAGAGTAATGCAAAGAGAAGAGGTTAA